CTAAACCCTAAACCCTAAACGACGCCAAGGCACATCGACACCGGTGGACGGCTCGTCCAAGAGCACTACGTCCGGCTCGCCGATGAGAGCCAGGGCCTCTGAGCTTTCTGGAGCTTTGAGGGTTGAGGGTTTAGGGCTTGGGGTTGAGGGTTTAGGGTTTAGGGTTTAGGGCTTGGGGTTGAGGGTTTAGGGTTTAGGGTTTAGGGCTTGGGGTTTAGGGTTTAGGGCTGGGGGTTTAAGGTTTAGGGTTTAGGACTTGGGGTCGAGGGTTTAGGGTTTAGGGCTTGGGGTTAGGGTTTAGGGTTTAGGGTTTGGGGTTTGGGGTTTGGGGTTTGGGGTTTAGGTTTTAGGGTTTGAGGTTTGGGGTTTAGGGTTTAAGGCGCCGGTTTGAGCTGGCCAATGGAGCTCCTTGGCAGGGTTCCTTATAAGGGTTACTATGAGGGGATCAGAAAACTCGGCTTAATAATTAGAATAGGGTTCCTGCAAAAGGGATCTATAAGGGACACTATAAGGGTAAAGCATAGGGGCCTGAATGATTAGAGTAGGGGTTTGGGGCATTCTCTACTATAATCAGTATAAACAATCCCCAAAAGACTATTGGTAGTGATTTAAGCCTCTGTACCCCTCAGGATTAAAGAAGTTGCCTTGGGGCGGACTGTCGGGCAGATAGTCTACTGCCTATCAAAGCCCAATTGCCTTTAGAACCGCACCCCAACTCGTAGCACAGCCGCCCCTGCGAGCAAGTACCATCGACTTGCATCCCAGCAAGTAAGTAGATGCTTGTTTCCTGATGTTTTCTGACACCTGGCGTGTATTGACAAATTGCTGCCATCCCACGGCAACCGGGCGTCTGAACGGCAGATGAGCTTATCACAGCTATGAGCGGGAAATGCTACAATAAACCCGTCAAGCTCCTGGCTCTGCTGGCTGTGGCGGGAGCACGATTGCAGAAGGCAGACATGCACGGGACTGTTGCAGGAAGCCTCGTATAAAACCCCCTACAGCGGCCGCATACTGTAGAAAGCCCATACACCCTTCTAGCAACCCTACAAAAGCCCGTAGACCTAGACCGCCTTGAAACCATCGTAACAGCCAGTTGAACTCTGTAGACAAAGCCCTTTTGTTCCCGGCTGTTCTTCATGGAAATTCTGAGCAGTACCTCCAAGGTTAATGACTATCATTACTATCATTGTTACGGTTCTGGCTAGTCTTGATCTGATCGATATTATCGCTCTGTTGTTGAAGCATCTCATCTCCTCGGTGGATGTTTTTGGCTGTATGTAACCCAAGCTCCTGACAAAACTCCCCGAATCTCGTGTGTAGTACTGGCCTGACACAGAGAAGCGAGACGCCCAGTTCTGAACTGCTTGAGGGCTCATGGCAGCTGGGTCTGCTGTCTCTCCGAAATTGAGCTTGGGCTCGCTCTCTGCCTGAATTTACCAGAACCAACCAACACCTCAAAGAGCTTTATCAGGCCAGGGTTTCGTTTTGCTCTTTGGCTTGGGTGCAAAAGGACGCAGACTTGGTGCCCGGACCGTCGAGAGCTTTCGCTTGTTGCCGCCCGACAGATACTCGCACAAGTTGTGCTCATGTGCCTGACGCACTGTCAGTCCAAGGTTGGGGTTGGAAGTATGGGCCCCTAATATGGGCCCTTAGGGGGGTTATGGGGGGTTCTAGGGTCCCTTAAACGTACATATAGGGTATATAGTAGGTATATAAGGATCCCAGACTTAAGGGCCCACACTAGGGGCCCATGGTTTCAACCTTAGATTCAGAACCCTAAACCCTAAACGTTGCAGGAACGAGACCCCAGATCCGCCTCCAGGCACATCTTGCGCACCATCGTCTCGGTGACCTGTGCCACCTCACCACGTGGCACTCCGCCTGAAACAGGGACCAATCCGAAACTCCCAAAGCCCCACGAAGGAGAGTTTCAGCAAGTCAGTAGAAGCCGAAAAACCTTACTATGTTGGGGGTTCCTTATTATAAGAACAGTATAATATACCCCAAAATCCTATTCTAATTGTCAAATGTCATATAAGGCCCCTGGAATCCCTAGTACAAGGGCCCCCCCCACAGCCATCTCTCCCGATGACGCCAGCACACTTAGTAAAGCAACGTCAAGATCAACTCATCAGCTTCTGCAGGATCCGTAGTGCCACGACGATGCTCCAACAACTCCCGAACCGGGTGCTTGCGTTCCGCTTTAGAGCAGACGCCAAAGATTCGTAACAGCTGCTGAAGTGTTGCGCTGCTTGTAAAAACCCTGTAAGCTGCGATACAGGATGAGCAAGAACTTTCAAGCGGAGAATGCGGCCGTCCTAGTGACTGTGACCCTAAACCCCAAACCCTAAACCCCTAAACATTATGACGCTGATGAACTTTGAAGTCGCAACGTCTGCTTGTCGCAGGTGCCTCTCTTAGGCCTCACAAACAAAAAGGACAAGCATGAATTCAAATTCAAAGACATTCGGCGGAAAGTCCGGTGATTAGCATCTAAGGTCTGTACAAGCAGCGCCCTAAAGTACTCGCCCTCTCCAGCTGAGTACAGCACGGATTCGTGCATAGAGGGACAAGGTCTCCCGCACCGTGAGCTTGTCCGGCAGGGCCTTCCGAAGAGCCCGGGGGCCGAAGAAGTTGAGATGAGCTCTCGCAGCGCAGTTGCAGTTGCTGGCATATTTCACGGAGAACTTGCTGCAGAGGAAAACGATGAGTCTTTGTCGAGTTTCTTTCGGAGCTTCTTGAGAGGAGCTCTAACTGACAGCTCGAAAATGAGAAGATGAGCTCTGAGGTGCTGGCATCGAACTGCGGACAGTAGCCCAGCCGACGGCGCGCTGCGTCCCGGTTGTCCTCAAACCAAACAGCCTTGTTGGGGGGGTTGGATTTTAAACACGACAAACAGTCGGAGTAATGGTCAGTAGACTCGTATGTTGAAGCCTAGCAATGTTGGAGCCTGTGCCTCATGGCAGTTTCAAGTTTCGCTTCCTGAGAAGCGTTAGCACTTCTTGCGGATAACCCTAAACCCTAAACCCTAAACCCTAAACCCTAAACTTGCACGAACTCTCAGGAGACACGTATGTTGAAAACTGCAAGAAGACCTCGGAGCCTAGTGTGGAGACTGACTAGTCTTGAGATGTCAGTTCCAAGAATTCTAGCTTCATGACACCGAAGACCGCTAAAGGCTCGAAGAATTACACAAGATAGCACGCACCCTGCAGACTTTATCACAAGTCTGGGTCTCGCTTTCAATGGACGTCCTGCACGCTGGCTCCTCCGACGAGGATGTCACCGTTGGTCACGTCAGTGTCTCCTGCGGACGTACCCGGCTTGCGGTGTACATGAGGGCGGGCAGCGACATTTACGCTTTCAGGACCATCGTGCAAGTACTTGTATGCATGTGCAACAGGCGTGCAGGGAGCTGTACCACTTCAACAGCTCAAACCCAGTCGCCATATCTTCGATTCCTTGCCTCCCAGCAAAGCCGGCGCGCACGGCTGCGCACTATACCACCGCAACGCACATGCAGCAAGAAAACAAAAATCTTTCAACCCAAACCCGCCCGCCATCCTGTGATCATGCGCATCGTCGTCGTCTTCCCTGCACCGTTCACGCCAAGCAGCCTCGGGCTGAGGTGCGGGCTACAGGGGGCGTGGAGGTAGTAGGGGGGTTGGGGGCCGGGGGTCAGGGGAAGTGGGTGACGGTGGGCCTTGCCGGGAACTAAGTCTCAGCCAAGGTGGAAAGTAGGATTTTGGGGATGATGAAAAGTACGCTCTTGTCATCAATCTAGGCTCCACCGGTAAGTCCCACCTGCTCCGACTCAATAACGCCCTATTGCAAACACTCAGCAAACCTACGACTCAATAGAGACCTATAACTTCGCACAGACAAGTCTTATCATCAATTCCTATATAAAGCCTATTATTATTATTATTATTATTATTACTATTATCAATTCCTATATAAAGCCCATTATTATCATTGTTATTATTATTGTTTTCAATTCCTATATAAAGCCCATTATTACCACTATCAATTCCTATATAAAGCCCCTTATTGTTATTATTATTATTATTATTATTATTGTTTTTATATTCTTATTATCAATTCCTATATAAAGCCCATGCATCCCCGAGTCGTCTCCGACCCCAGAGCGTCGCTAGGGCCCCTGGCCCAAAGCACTCGCCAGGGGGCACGCCTCAGGCACTCTTCTGGGTTTAGGGTTTGGGGTTTAGGGTTTTGGAGCACTCTTCTGTCTGGTGCTTAGTAGGGAATGGGGGAATGGGTTATAGGGACTACTATAAGGGACCTTAAGGGACTATCATAGGGATCCATTCCCCCATTCCCTACTAAGCACCACACAGTCTTTTGGAGCATGCTTTGGGGTTTACGGATCACGTTGGTGTAAGATTACAGGGTCCCAGAGGGCCCAATATCCCCTTAATTAAGGAATATAGCTTAAATCATAATATGAAGTCCCTTATTTTTGTCAGGTATATTCCTTGATTAAGGGGTATTGGGCTCTCTGGGGCTATTTGGAGGTTTCTTACGTGGCTTCCTGGCCTGATTTCTGGGATTCTGAGGTGTCTTCACTTCGCGGATGTAGTTTGGCTCTGTAGGGCTCTGTTATAACCCGGAGAGCCCAATGCCCCTTAATTA